CGATTTTACACGTCTCATTGCTACAAGAACAACCTTGACCTTTATACATACATATTTTGCCACCGATTATACAAATCGAAGATTAGTGTTCATTGAACCTTTAGAGCAGATGAGAGACCTCCTAATACCTAGAATTTTTAGTAAAAATATTGTTTGAAATCTAACGGTTCATGTGTGTTTACATTACAGGGAAACTTTCCCAGATAAAAGTCGTTTTTTTAACTTTATCTGAGGAGTTTCTAAGAGCACGGTATTGTAGTAGGACCAAATTCTTCGATGACATCTTACGCGTAGTTAAGAAAACCTTGGTTTGCCCCTTCGGTAGTATATTTATTCGCATAAGTAATCTTCTTTATTTTTTGTAGGGGTGCATGGATTTAAAAGGCAAAAACCGGTTCCAGTGCTTAACTTCTAGATATTTTGAATGTTGATTACTAAACTCTACGGGCTGCTAGGATCAACTCCGATACTTAACGATCAATGTGGTTTTTAGAAACTTCTTATTATGAACATCGCAGATCTCTTATTTAAAATCCGTCTCAGCATCTTGGCCTACCGGTTATAGAGGAGGCTTTAGTCTTATATATAATGTATAACTCTTTTATTATAGAAGATATATACTGCTGGACTGCTCCAGTTGTCCGAAATACATATCAGATGTAAAAGATAGCTACATTTCAATTGATATGGAACTCCAGCTGTCTGAAACATTTGATAGCCGTAGCATTGCAGGGTTTGTACTTAATTACGTTCACAATTATCCACTTGAATTGTTAACTCTGGGTAAAAAATTTAGATATTTTCCAAAAGAATTACAACAGTTTTCTACTGCGAAAGTAAGTCTGATGAGAGTTGAGTTGGCAACCCAATTGTGGTAAAAAAATTATACATTTAACACGTAGGAGTTCCATGAAAACTCTTTAGAGGTATTTTTAGAACGACAATAATGTTCTGAGTAATGACTTCCAGAAGTAGTGGCGTCAACACTAGTTCCAAGCTTGTTGTTTAAGAAGGTCTTTGCACTTGTTCTAGAACAAGCAAGCGCAGAAAGATAGTCGCTAAGAAAATGTTATTGTACTGGTGAGAAAACACTTTTTTACACTCTTGTAGTGAGTTTTGTTTACGATCGGGTTGTGTACGTGTGAATTGCTGCAAATCTTCGTAATTTGAACAATATGAATGCGCAACGCTGTTCTTTAACTAGTTTTTTAGGAAATTTTCTAAAAGTTTACCTAATATAGCATTAAATCCTTTTTAAGATTTAATACCTTAACATTTCTGTTTGTAATTCAATCGATATTTTCCAAAATATAACAAAGTTTGCAAGATTTTACTTTTCTAGACCTGATGTCTCAGCATTTTGTGCGTGTTTATATTTAACTAAATTATTTATTTGCCAGCAACAAATTTTATTTATAAAAGTAATAAAATAGTTTTATATATACTTTTTTTTATTTATTTAAACATGTCTCTGCAATACTCGACATGATAAAATCTAAGCATACAATGTGGAAACATTTTATAAATTTTCTATTTAAATACAATATTTTAAATATGAATGGGTTTAATTTTGGACTCAATAAATCCACTTATTGGTGAGTCTAGAGTTAACAGTTTAAACTTTTGATTTCATAAAAATTACGATTAAAGCTTTAAATAATGTCAACTTATTTTACCGTAACAAATTAAAACTATTTAAGTATTAATTTCAAATTATCTTCTTTCCCAATCATTTGATCTTATTGAGTGTCGTCTTACTTTCGCCTTTAGTATAACAATAATAAATCTTGTATATTATTCAATTAAACTTATTAATTGCTTTGATCATTATTACTTACCGTTAAAGCAGATAACTACTAGCGTTAGTGTTTTTGAAAATTATATATTATATATTAATTATTAATTTTAAACAAACCGCTTCTTTATACTTTTTGTATTATTTTTTCGCGATCATTGTTTCGTTAACTAATTGAGGTTAATGTTAGGGTTTTTTTCTCTTAGTTTCATAATACTCTACCGTGATTACAAGAATTAATTCTATTTAATTTAAATGTTTTTGTTGTTGTTTATAATTTAACTTCATTTCACTCTTTTAGTTTTCGTGGGAATTTTCGTAAAACTTTTCTTTAAGTTTTCTGTATAACAATTACAAAATTTTACCACGTTCTACTTTTAGGATAATAAATATTTAATAAATAATGATTTTAAAGGTGAAATATATACGTACATGTGTCATGGAATTATATTCAGTTATATAGTAAGTTTAGGAATTAGTAGAACTAACAATAAATCCCTTAAAACTTGATATAAAAGCATCCGCTTTTAAAGTTGATAATAAGCTCTCTTTGCCGATGCCTGCTTTATACCTGTTACCATCAAAGAGTTATGATTGAACTCTCTGTACGGTTTTTTCTGTACACATGTGTTAGATTTGGGTTGTCTGAAAGCCAGATATTAAGAGAGCTCTTTGCCGATATCTGCTCTAGCCACGACATTTGACATTTACATTATTTTGATTATTAGTTAAACAATTGTTTGTTAATTCAAATCAAAACTAATCTCATTTAAACATAAATATTTATGCTTTATTTACAGACATATTTTATAATTAAAATTTCACTTACTGCAGTGTTCTAAAACAAGTATTTTTCCCAAAATTATATTTTAACATTATTTTTGTATTTATTACAGACAAATAAAACTCCAAAATTATATTTTTGGTTTTATTTGTTACAGACATTTTTATGACACTACCAAAAATGGCGCTGTTGATTCCGTAAATGGAAAATTTATTAGCCTGTTGTTTGCCAAAACACAATTTATTGTGCTTGTTTAAATTATATATAAGGATTTAAAGGTTTTTTATTGCTAACTAAGGGCTCACACTCTAACTCTTATATTCTGGTATTATTTCGTAAAATGTTTCTGTAATTAATGCCGTCATGTTGAATAATTTTAACCCTTTCGACTTTTTTGGATTTTTTTTACACAACTATAAAGTTTTAAGTTTGTTTCTAGTTTAATTAAGTTTAAAATTTTTACAAAAATTATAAAATGGCGTGAACATTTTGAAAAAAAGTGAAAACTTTTTAAGATATCTTCGTAAAATAGTTTTATTGTTTACTAGTTGGAACTGACTCGAGTTAAAATAGATAGAATATATATGTAGGTAGATAGATAGATAGATAGATTAGATAGATAGATAGATAGATAGATAGATAGATAGATAGATAGATAGATAGATAGATAGATAGATAGATAGATAGATTAGATAGATAGATAGATAGATAGATAGATAGATAGATAGATAGATAGATAGATAGATAGATAGATAGATAGATTAGATAGATAGATAGATAGATAGATAGATAGATAGATAGATAGATAGATAGATAGATAGTAGATACATACATAAATAAGCAAATAGGGACCGATTCGCAAAAAAAATCGTTGAATATTTACATAAAATATCGAGGGACTATATTCAATAGTCTCTATCTAAAATAATACAAGTTTTCAGGAGAGCAAAAAAACTGCTTATTTCGCTAGTTCGTGAAGATTTTTTAATTTTTTCTTTTACAATATATTTTTACGACCATATTCTAAACCTTTATATAAAAAGAATTTTAATTTTTGCATTATTTACAAAATTATTCACAAATTTATATCAGATAGAGCTTATTTTTCTACGAAAATGTTCATTCAACCAACAGATAGAGAGTTTTTCATGGAAACATAAAATTTTTATTTGAATTAAAATCAATAAATATTATATTTTATACAATTTAATGGAGGAAAAGAAACCAAATTGTTGAAAAAGCAACAGATTATAATGTTTTGGTCCAAAATCAATATTATATGGTTAAACACGACAATAAAATTGATTTAATTAGTATCATAATGAGCGATATCTCAAAAACTATTAGACCGAATTTAAATATTTTGACGGATTTGTGTTCAGCATGTCCAAATTATTAAGAAGACTTGTTTTGCAACAGAAAATTATCCAAAGGGATCGAGTTTGAAGCAATTTTTGGATAAGATAGAGAGTTTTGCATTCAGAATTTTTCTTTTTTTAAGATAGAGAAATTTAAGAAATGCTATAAAATTGCCAAAAAATATTTTTTTTCTTTGAAATTTATATCACTGATGCGCGATAGTTTGCTGAATATTTTGCCATCAAAATCTCATTTTCATAAAAATGACAGATAGCGACTATTGAATATAGTCCCTCGATATTAAAATGTAATACCAAAATTTCAATATATAAATGTTTAGAAGTGAATTGTGAAGATTCAAGTCAATTTCTGAAGGCGGGCTTTGTGTGGATGCTATGGAAACCGATCATTAGAGAATAACCAATTTCATCCTTGAGGCAAAAAAGTACATGTAACATTTTATTGAATTTAGCTTGAAATTTCTACCTGTACCTTGTAATCGAGATATGTCCGGCTGGCTGGTCGCTTGATTTAATGAGTTTAATGAGATTATAGAAAAATGTTAATGGAAGAATTACTGAATAAACTTTTTTATTATTTTTTCAGTTTCTCGATATAGTGATACTTCCAATTTTTTATAGTTTATTATAATTGAAATCCAAATTTTTATAATTTCTAGTATCAAAACAAATTTTGTTGCATTTTAAAAACAATATTTTTATTTTAAATATTTTATCAATTGTTTTCATTTCATAAATTATTGGCTTTTAAATTTCATCACTTGCTTCTTATAATTTTGGTTATAATTAGTGCTGGTAAAATACTAAGCAATGGTTACAATTACTATTCGATTGTTTTATGAAAAAAGTATAAATATGACTTATTTGACAGGATCCCAAGATTTCAAGACTTTTTTGTTTTCATTTTAACATCATGTCAAAATTTGTTAGAATGTTCGAATTGATTCAAAATTACCAGCACTATATAGTCAAAACTTAATAATCGTATCTGCAGCACTACAACTAGAAATATGTTCTTGTCTCTTTTTCTCTCTTTTTCTAGTACGTAGTTGCACCATTATATTAATTGCAACAACTGTAACATCAACAACAATATAAATAAGCAACACCATTAACCCTCCCAAAAAATAAAAAAATCTCAAATAATCTCACTTTATTCACCAGTTTAACGTATAACTTTTAATCATGATTAGCGTTCTTTTTATTGCCAATAGACTATTTAGCAGTATGGTTAAACAGGGACCCAGACCAGTGGTTGTGTGTGGACCTTCGGGTTCTGGTAAAAGTACTCTGCTGAATAGACTATTCGCAGAATTTCCCAATACTTTCGGTTTTAGTGTATCGCATACCACGCGTAAACCTCGACCCGGAGAGGAGGATGGTGTTCACTATAACTTTGTCAGCCGTGAGGAAATGGAAAAAGCTGTGGCCAATGATGAATTTATAGAATCGGCTACGTTTGGTGGCAACATGTATGGCACTAGTAAGGAGGCTGTACGTAAGGTACAAAATGCCGGTAAAGTTTGTATTTTAGATATTGAACCCCAAGGTGTGGAGCAGGTGAAGAAGACCAATTTAAATCCCATACTAATCTATAATAATCCACCATCTGTGGAGGCTTTGGAACAACGTTTACGTAAACGTGGCACCGAAACCGAGGAATCTTTAAAGAAACGTTTAGATGCTGCCGCTTCTGAGATTGCTTATGGTCTGACACCCGGTAATTTCCAGAAAATTATCCATAACATTGACATTGATCAGGCCTACGAAGAGTTTCGTGAATTTATTGTAGCCGAATTGAAGGCTCAAGAAGCTGCTGGCATTACTATTACCTGGTAATGTCTTAAAATAGACCTAGACCCATTAGAACCTCTGCATTTTCGCAATGGTATTTTAAGTTTAAAGATATTTTAAACTTTAGTAAAATCATTGTTGATGTTCAACGTATAATATTTTGCGTGTGTGACTAGAATTTAAAGAAAAAGTTTTTATTTAAATTTAAGTCAATTACTATTTATTTCGTGATTTTTTTAATTTTTTTTAAATAAAAATTTATGTATTTCTTTGAAAATAATTGGTATTTGTTTTAATTTATTTAGTAAATATTTAAAAATTAATTTACACCTTATTTTTTGGTGTGGAATGAAGAATTGTTTTGGAAAATTGTTTATGAGAAACAATTAGTTTTTCACAGATCCATAATATGTAATTCAAAGACCCAAGTCTGAAAATTATATAAGAGACTGATTTCAAAACTATAGTATAAAGAAATTTTTATTTAAATTTTGCATCTCAGGCTTTATGGTATTCTTCTCCGTAGTTTCTTTAAAACCATTAATAACCCGTTAGAAATTTGTTCCAATTGATCAGTATTGTGAGTGAAACTGATCCAACATTATTCAAGGCACTTACTATAAATATTTGGTAAATATCAGTTATTTGTGATCTCCCCAAGGAACTTAATAATTTTGCTTCTGGTGATGTTGTAAGAACTAGACATCAGATTTTTGTATTAGCAACCAGAAATCAACAATCAACAGATCCCGGTGTCTTCTCTCTGTTACTTTGGCGTAACGTGGAGGCTGTTTTCTTTTCAGTGTGTAGTTGTTTTAGCATTTGTAAGGTCATCTTTTCAGATACCCTTTGTTCGACTTGCTCGCCTACACTATACCTTGCTTGACCTTTTCTCCCATACGCGAAGGATTCTGTCTAAGAGACATATTGTAAGACTCAGTTTTCAGCTCCTCGGAAGATCTGATTCTCTTTGTTTCAGTGCTTGAGAGATAATCCTGCATATCCTTGGGAGTGTCCTGGATTGAGCCAATATGATCTTTCGGAACATTATCTTTAATTTCTTCTTCTGTTTCCCCGGTAGCCGTTTTATGTTGTCACTTACCTCCTCCATCAATCGCTCTATTCGCTTTATTCTTTTTGAATTTGGGTATGATGGTGTGTGATCTTATTATCATATCAGAGTCGGAACCTTTACCTATATTTAAAGGCTGAGGTTGCTTAATGCTTTCTCCGAGAACATTCTTCTCTTTCACCCCTACATTTTTGCCAATGGCAAGCTGTATACTTGACCCGTTGTCCGATGTTCTTTCTTTTGCTCACAATTGTAGGGAGACGACAACAACAATGCATCGAAAAATTATATATTATTTTTTTACTTTCCATTTGCCGTGTCCAATTTTTGGTCTGCGGGGATTGCAAGATTCTCAGATAGTGAACAAATTTAAATGGAACCAGTGAATTTTTAACCCAGAGACTAAAGTATACTATTCTGAACGCTGCACTGAATCCGATTCCGGCATTAGAATTTCACCAACACATTAAGGATTGCCAACCTACAGAATCAGAACTTTTTCAGATTTTGGAGATATCGTGACCTAAAGATTGAAAAATCTCCATCGTAACTTTAATATTAATTTTTTACTTTCCATTTGTCGATTCCGAATTTTGGTCCGCGGGTAATACAAGATTATCAGAACTCAACAGAACTGAAATCAGTGAATTTTCAACCCAGAGTCTAAAGTAGAGACTTTTCTAAACCCTGCGCTGAATCCGAATCAGACATTAGAATTTCTCCAACACATTAGGGCCCCGTTTTAGCCATATTTGAGTAGTTATTACGGAGAGAAGTTATACAATTTGTTATTGTAGGTCTGAAAGTTATATTTATTGGCTTCAAGGGGCTTCAAACGTACATAATTAGTTTCTAATGTGAGTTCAATGTTCAGAAATTGATATATTTCTATCGATTCGATCCAAAAGTGGAGTTAGGGTCAAACAAATGTATGTGTGAGAGGTATGAAGAGGAATGATTCCTTTCCCAAGAATTATCCGGAAAGTTCTTTAAATATACGAGACATTTAATAGATTTAGGCCCAATATCACAACCTCCGGTTATCGTCTAACCGGAAGATATTCTGGCGGTTAAAATAATATTTCTTTGAGAACTGTCAATATATCGTTGCGATAATAAATAATCAGAAATTAAGAAAATGGGGGTTAATGTTGAAATTCTAGACTAGGAGAACTTTAATTTCCTCATAGGTTTATTGTCTTTGAGTAAGAGAATAAGGTTTATTTATCTATGGTATTTGGACTTCATCTAAATTCATGATAATTCCCAATTATTTAGATCATGAAGAATTTTGAAACAAACGCTCCAGATACTATTTGAAAAACTGGGTCCGATAGTGTTGAGCGCGATCGAGTAAAGTTGATCGTAATTTTCCTTTTAGCTGATAGCATTCGATATCTAACAAGAATCGAAGCTTATTCGATCAAGTATGCGGTAATTTGGACCCAGTTGTTATGGGGATAAACTTTGAACTTTAGCCATTAGGTGTAAAAAATAAAATTTATGACACTTTCATTTGCCATATTATCAGTATTTTTTTTTTAAATTATACTTAATTGTTTGTAAACACTTGATATTACAACAAATGAAAAGCAAATGACTTTTAAACAAATTTTTATACTATATATGTATATATTAGAAAATGTTAATGTACATTTACCTTTAATAGAAAGTCTATGAAAGAGAGGTGACATGAAAATTCTTTATAATTCAAGAGTGAGTGCACTCATTAAACAAGTGCTATGTACTTGTAAATTTGCAACACTAAACATTTTAATTGTGGAACATTCCATTTGCAAATGTTTATAGAACAAATTAAAAAACAAAACAATTTATCAATGCACTTTTATAAAATTAAGTCATTGCTAGCCATTTGCAAAACAAAAATTTTTTAAAAATAAACATTTTAATTAAAACAACTTGTAAAATATTCGGTATAAAATTTTGAACTTTCACAAATTAGAATTTTGTGTTAAAATTCTTTAAACATTTTCAAATGTTTAAAACTGGTGCTCTAATAAAATGAGGTAAAGTTTAAATATACTTGAAGAGACTTTTTAGGATTTTCTTTTATTCGACTTTAACTCCCTGGGGAAAAGAGAATTGAACTGATCTATTTACCTCATTGTAAGGGGGGGAGAGTTAGTTGTCACTTTTTAAGTGTATTAGTCGCCTAGTATGTTAAAATATTTAACTTTAAAGATCAATTAAACGGGTTTTTAACGTGTAACTTTCGTTCTTTTATATTGTATTTATTCTAATAATTATATCATATGTTTGTGAGTCAGATTCGTTAATTAATTCTCTTAATATTTTCACAAATTTTTATTTCAATTTTTAAGAGACAATTTTGCTGTAAAATATTTTGAATTTGATTTTTTAAGAGTATTTTATTGCATTTTAAATATTCAAATTTATAAATAAATATTTGAAATTTTGTGTAAAAATAAGTCGAATTGTTTATATATACCAACATGTACAAAATAAATATATATATATTACACTTGTGTTAAAAAAACAAACATATAAAAATCTAGTTTATGACATTTAGAGAAAATGTGTCAGAAATTTATCAACTGTCAAGTTCGATTTTAGTTTGTTTAATTTTATTATTTTGTCATTTTGTTCTTATAACAGACTACTACAGGAGGTGAAGTCATTTCAACAGCTGATTGTTATTTGTCCATGGAAATTTAGCCCGAAGCTGTCAAACTCCATATAAAAAAATTCTCTCTCAAAACTGAAGCTGTCAAACTTCATATATAAAAAAATTCATGAATTCGCCGCAAAATGAAATGACTTCACCTTATAGTACATTCGCCTTGCTAGAGGGGTTCATAAGCCACGTTTAAAAAAATTCTCTTATAACGAAGTCAAACGTTTTTCAATATTTTGTCAAATAAATTTATGTTTAAAACTAACTTTATTTGATTACTGACCTATATAAGTATTAGATACAATACTATTAGCAATCGGTGCCCTACAAAAGTACTACTACTATTTTAATATATTTTCTGCTAAATTTTTTACTGACAGTTGTTTTTTTTTTTTTTTTTTGTTAAAAATGGCACAAATTCAATTAATTTTTTTTAATTTAAGATTAACATGAACAAAATTCGTTAACAAATAAAAGCCCTTACAACTTCATGTATAAAATGTGAGGCGTTTAGCCCACCGCCCCAAGCACCTCTTCACATTTATTATATTGAATACCTCACGAAAATTTTGTTTAATGTAGGTTAGGTTTGCCAATGTAGGTGACACTATTTATAGTAATCGTGTCCACAGAGACCAATTAAGTTGCATGTAAAATTACCCAAAGAAACTAAACATATTATTATTATGTCCAGTGATTCCTATGAGGAACAGAGGGGCACCACAAATTGGCTCCATTCATATCTGATAGATACTTTCTGCATATTTTCTTACAACTAAGACCGCTTTGTGATATTTCATTCTCAAGTTGTTGTCTCCATATATGTATGACTGGGATAACCAGTTGAAGGCGGCATTTGCAATGTCATCAGGTGATTTGCGTAGAGTTTGAACTATTCATCTCCATGGTCATGCAGATCTCCTCCCAGACCTACACTTTTTCACTGACTATTGTATTCCGGAACCGTTAATAACGAGAGATTTTCGGTATTGTATAATCAGTGATTATTCTGAATGAGATGGCGAGACATTCAACCATTTACCAATGTTTGGCTCAAAGGACACGGGAACACAAACGGCAACAACATTGCTGATACTTTAGCGAAAGTGGGGACGAGAATGGCTACTCTGAACAACGACCAATTCTGTGGCATCCACTATCGGCCATTAAGAAATTCATATATGCAACATGTTATAGTTTAGCTCAAGAACGTTGGTCTCATGAGCATACTTGCACGATTGCAAGGACGCTGTGGTCTCGCTTCATAGAACATCTCAGTAGAAGGCATCTGAACGCACTTTTATCGGTTATTACTGGTCCATATAATGATTTTTGTAGAAGCTGCCAGAATGAGGCGGAGGAGGAAACAATTACTCATCTTCTGGAAACGATTCTCTATATAACGTTGGGGTCGTCACATTTCTCTGATCTATCTGATCCTAAGTTCGTCAACATGGGTGTGAACCTAGTTTACATGACTTTCTCTCGGTTATTGTTTAGGTTTATTTAGGTTTTCGCTCTAAAAATCTAAAATTTGTGGGGAGTAAAATTG